AGTTAATGCTTTATATACTGACATTGAAACAAATACACTGCTCATATAAAATTTGGCATTACTTTCCCGGGAAAAAGAATACGTTTCCATAATTAAAGTCTACGCTTCCGGAAATAAATACCTTACTTTTCCGAGAAAATAGTACAATTCCGGTATGTTCAGGCAAAAGTAGTAATATCTTTTAAAGTCAAATCCTAAGGAAAGGATGCACACAAGAGCTAACTGTACATATTCTGGTATGTTGTGTGGTTGAGTTGCTGTCTCTTTTACGTCTTTATCACACCTTCTCTTCGTATATGTACGCGACTTTGATATCGTCATGCATGGACACAATACTTCACTATATTCGTTCCATTTTCGTATTTTGACATGATTAATATACAAATAAGAAGATGCGGTATAATTGACAAATTCGAGTATTTATACTACATAACATAGGTTATGTCATGATCACAAAACTTCCAATAATTTTGATATTGATCATTAGTTATATTTTACTATTTTGTAAATTTGAGTTATTGACAAACAATCGCAGGTCTTTATTTGTAGCACGTTCCTTCGTTCACGTTTCCGCAAAAAGAAAAAGAGTTTTCTTCTCGGACTTTAACAGCCCTTTCCCGCAATTATTTTCAAGATAATTTCATATAACACATTATGAAATCCCGACCAATGAAATTTATTTGAATATTAAACGTGGCCTACGAGAGCACCTAGATTAAACTTGGGAAGTTAGAATAGCCAATTATTTTTTTTTATCTAGTAATTACCACTAAAATATGCATTACCGCTAAAATATGCCTTACACAATTATATGACAGAAACATTTTATCCGACGTGCTTTACAATGTTTAAATTACCTTTAGGTCTTGAAAACGTTTTTGAATGCCGCAAATATAAAAATAAGGTTTTTTTTTAAATATTCCTTTTGGGCCAGGGCCGACCGTGCGAGGGCTTTATAGCCAGTCCAGTTCGTCAAATGTTCATTTCTTGCAGGAATTATTTTACATGCGGATATAACGATAATCCCTTCGAAAACCCACTTCAAATTTCATTTGTCGTTTGCTGCTTTTACACAAATAACACACATTTTTAACCAGTGACCGGTATTACAATTTTACACAGGTTTAAAAGTTCATTGAGCTGTTACTTTAATTACAAGTTTTAGCAAGACGAAACTGTTTACTAAATGAATTCAACAAATGTCAAGCTCATCTAGATCAATTTTATTATTTAACAAAAAAATGTTTTTAATTACAAACTTCTAGGTTTGTAATGAGCACAATTAAGACCTTCTTATTATCTTTCCGGTTTTTATTTTTTTGCAGATATATTTAAAAGACCATACCTTACTTACATGCCACGAGTTTTCATATTAGTAAGCAATATTGAAAACGAATAATTTGATATAAAGAGCTATTTTATTTTTAACAGATTAACACTTTGTGCTTTTTAAATCGTGCATCAATATTTATAAATTTAGTTATATATCTATTGTTCATTCGTTTATCTTAATTGTGAAGCATGTTTATATATTCAGATTCAATTTTTTTATTAAAGTCTCACCACTTGTATAACACTATACATTCCAATATACATATAAAACATTACGTATAACATAAATATTGGAAAACATATATAAAACTAACCACCAGTAAAATATCTTAAATCGATAACGCTCGGAGCGGATTAATGATAGAAACACGAGGATGCTGTTCTGCTTGAGTGATTTATCTTACAAAAAGGCGGACACTTTAAAGTTTAAAAGGACTTAACATCAGTTTGATTCCGTTTAACGGGGGAGTGGCTAATTAGTTTGACGCAGTTTAACCACCAGTTGGACGGCAAACGATTTAATGGCTTCTAAGGTCAAGACATTGGTCACGTGACAAAAGGTAAGAGTTTACGGTTTTTTGGTAAACGTGCATGCCTGGTGGTTTTTTGACTCGTATCGTCTTATTTGTACTCGTACATCAATAAAAATCAAAGTGTTCAATTCTAGATTGCATAAGCTTCATTATTCTTTATAATTTTTATTAAAAAGTGTTGTTAAAGTATTATAAATTCACGAGTGAAGTGAAACTTTTTATCTGAAAATTTGCGTAGGTCCACGGAAAATCCTTAATTATTCCTTAAATATGTATGGTAACGTGTTGAGGGGTATAAAATATGAAGCAAAACCATTTTTTACGTTAAATTTTGATGATAATCGGTTCTTAATTCACTGGACACGAAATTGTGTCAGCTTAACGAGGCGAAGTGAAGATCAAAGGGAGATAACTCCGTACACGCGTCGTAGGAAATTGCAAGTTCACAACAGTAAATTCGAGTAAAACTAATGATTGTAGTTATATTTTGACACTTTCTTGAATAACCATTCAATATATCATGTTCCTCTACTCTTGTAACATTAAAATAGTCATGGAACGGTTGAATATGGCATTTTTTCAAGTACCCTAAAACAGGTTTTTGAAAACTTCAAAAGAAGAAAATTATAGATAACTGACTTTTCTCTGAAACTTGGACCTATTTGTATATTCTCAAACACTCTTTTGGTAGATGGAATGATACAAGTCTTTGTTTTACTTTCTTTGTATCAATATTCTTAGAAAGGATATGAAAATAAACTCAGTGTTTGTACATGTTGGTTGTTTATAGAACAGTTTGTTTAAATATATTAAAATTTCACTCTAAAATTAGACTTGAATTTTTATATTTAAATAAGTATCTAACATAGAAAGTTGTTAATCTGGTGCACTAAAAATGTTCCATCAGAAATGAGATTTAACAAAGTTATTTAGACTGAAGAACTTATAGATTGTCACTTTTTATGCTGATCATATGGGGAAAAAAGAGTGATATTATAAATCCTAACACAGCATCAATTGTGAAACAATAGTTCTCTCCTAAAGACATTTTATTTTTCAAGATGCGAGGCTTGCCGATCAATTTACATATTTAAGACTTCACTGTTAAGAGTGGAAAAAAAACTTATTGACAGAGATTCTGAATGGGAATGTTTCTCTTGATATTTCTAAACAATACATTTATGTTACCAACTACATTGTATCTTTGTTTTTCTACTATGATCTGCAAAGAGATGGGTTCTTTATGTGTGACCTCAATGATCGTCAAGCATGATTATTGGTAGCCTTTATTCCTGATGTAACAATGGAAAATTCTGAGAAAAGCAAGAACTTTTAAGCAGATCCAGGTCTTTTATAAAGAGAGGGTGGATTATTCCTAATTTCCATATACAGAAACAACATATTTCATTTCATGCCAAATAATTACATCCAAGAGGGGTTTATCAGCCATTTGTCAGTAGAACTTGTGTTACAATATAATTTAACTTTTCATTACATTAAAATACAATATGGAAAAAAAGAAAATGTAGACAATACATGCTTCAAAATTGTGAACATTGACATTAACTGAAAAAAAAGTCAATTTGCAGTGGACAGAAGTACAATTTTTTTATTTTTATATTATACCTGCTATAAGATACAGTGGCGGATCTCCCGGGGGTCCGGCGATTGGAATCCCCTCTTTTTATCGACAACCAATGCAATTGAATGGGGACATATAGTTGGAACCCCCCTCCTCTTGGAAAATTGGCTTGATCCGCCCCCGAGATAAGAAACTATATAAGATGTACAAGTTCCGTTGCTCGCTCTTAATCAAGAGAAAAAATTTGGACATCCAAAAAGTCAGAAATTATTGACTGAATAATGAATGATTAGCTAAGCTGATCTGTAAATAAAGTCTGAAAATGCTTTGTTTAAATAAAAGAGTGTTATTATGTCATAAAATATACTGAATCAACTTCAAATTTAATTCAAATTCATATTTAACTGCTCTAAAATGCATAGTCAATTGAACTACAAAACAAAAACCCGAGACTACTATAACATAGAGATTGGTCACTTCCCATGTTATAGTAGTCTCAAACAAAAACAAAGCTGACTTAAATACATGTACAGTATGTTCAGAAATTTTTTGAAGAATGGACAACAATGAGATATTTATTTCTCTGATATCAGAAAAAATCTCATAGTATCAAATCAGAATGCGAGTTTTTTTTTTATTGAGATAATCAATTTAATCGTATTATTTACTTTAATAAAAAACCTCATGATAATATCTGAATTTACAGTCATGACTTAGCTTTTCAACCTCTACACTTAAAAATTTAAGGTTCCTAGGCCTAAATGTGGTTGAAATACAGACTTTTACAAAAAATCTCTTTTTTATGACATACACTACAATTTCAGAATAAGCTGCATTAAGTTATATATGTATCACATATAAGAATGCTAGTTTGTATTAATATCATGATTATCATGATTATTGCAATAAGTTGTTATTATTCAATTAATTAAAAAAAAAACATCAATTATTTTTGAATTGATAGATCTGGAACTAGTACATACATTTGTTTTTTTAACAATCTATATACTATTCATTAGGGAACTTATTCAAATATATTTTGTACAAGACAGTCATGGCAGTTCACAATTACAGTGGTCATTATAAACATAATGCCACAATTTATACAACCAAATTTTATTGTTGATATATGTAAACTGAAATCATTGCAGAATTTTTCTTTCAAGTGATTTAATGTTTGTTAGTCACTTCCTTTAAATACTTAACCTGTACTAAAATAAAGAGATGTGGTATGATTGCCAATGAGATAACAGTATAGAAACTATCCACCAGAGTCCAAATGTATGTTAGCAGTTAAATTATAAGTCACTTTACAGACATCAACAATGAATACATTTTATTGTTATCAGGCAGACGAGGAAAAAATAATCTACCACGTGTTTGTCTGCTGTGCTTGAATATTCAAAACGACCCATCAGCTTTATTTACACGAATGTTTGCTAAAGCAGACAGTTAAACATGTCTGTTTACCTTATAAGTTCTATAAAAAATGCATTTGCTGTTATGACTTGTGCATGCATGGAAATATAATGAACATAACATTGATTATTTACCGTAAATATTGAATACACATCATTCCTGAGCTATACACACAAAACACATGGCACTTTTGTAACGATTGATGGTAACTTTTAGCCACTTTATAACAGTAAATCCCATTGGATAAGCTACCCTACACAGTACATAATATGCAAATTAATGATTGGATACGAATTTGTGTCAGCTCTCAAATCGATGGAAAAATGTAAACATTGGAATCCGCCATTTTGACATAGGAAACAAACTAATTTTGAATCTTGGATTAAAGGACATTGCGCACATTGCCAGCGTATCATGCATAACCAGTCATGTGCAAATATATCTTTTAATTAGTTTTATACACTTACTTTTCTATGTTTTAGTTAATTTAATGTTTTAATTTACTACAGAACGGAACAGACGCCGTAGAAAAATTTATAGGTGGCGCTGTTTGTGGGCGTAAACATTTTACATACGGGTACTTTTTATGTCGACAGATTGACCTTTATCTGTCAGATTCAGGCGTTTGCCGTTCAACTGCACATCTCAAATTAACTTGAATGACCGCAAGGGAAACTATTTGACTGGTATTAAAATGATTTGATATGGATTGAAATGCATTAAAAATAATATTTAATTTTTGTCAATCTTTATTCAATTTTCATTAATCTTTTTTAAATGCCGTTAATGCGTTTTTGTCCGTTCAAGCTAAATTCGAGTTACTAGTGTTATGCAATTGCCCTTGTTGTTTCTGGATCGTTCCGAGTGGTTGTAACCTTATACATTTAATATTGTGATAGTGTTTACCTAAATGTTGGTAACCTATACTTTTGAATTTCTGGAAAATTCAGTACAAAGCAACAAACTGTTAGTTCAGTACTGTTCAGACATTTCGTTTGCTGTCAATTAAAATCTGTTCAGTCTACGTTCAGACTGTTCAGTAGTTATTTTTTTACCTGAGTGTATACATACACATTGTATTGAATAGTCAGAAAACTTACTGAACAATACTGAATTGACTGCAACCGAATAGTTTTAGGAGTACTGAGTTGACCGTAGTGGATAAGTTTGAAAATTGACCGAAAAACTGAACATGACTGATATATGTCTTGTTCAGACTTTTCTGTTAAAATCAACATGACCGTTTAATTTTATACTTATTTGCTTCGTTAATATCATGGCCTTAAACCATTACCAATTTGTAAATTCATTCCTGCAAATGAACAAATATTTCCAGTATTTATGTGTCTTTGCACGTCAACAATCCATCAGTAATTGCTGCTATTCCAACTGTTCAAGACCAAAGGGATGTAAACATTCATTATCTAGATTTAGACATTTCAATTTATAAAGGGAAACTCCATATTAAAATTTACGACAAAAGAGACGGTTTTTCATTCCCTATTGATAATTTTCCTTTTACAGACGGCGGTTTATATATACCAACTCGTTCGTTATGCCCGTGTGTGTAGTGATGTCATAGATTTTAAAGAACGTAATCAATGCATCACTGGTAAATTATTAAATCAGGGATTTCGTTTCCATAAATTACTTAAAACTTTTACTAAATTCTTTCAGAAATGCCAAGCTTTGATTAATAAATTTGGCTGTACCTGTAGAGAACTTATTAAAAACGTTATTTCACATCCTAATATTTACGGTAATATTGTACTAAAAAGTAAAGTCACAAAAATACTGAACTCAGAAGAAAATTCAAAAAATCAAACGGCAAAATCAAAAGTTGAAACACATCAACCGAATGGACAACTGTCATATTCCTGACTTTGTACAGGCATTTTCTTGAGTAGAAAATGATGGATAAACCTGGTTTTATAGCTAGCTAAACCTCTCACTTGATTGATAAAAAGCGCGGAAATCACTATGTGATCCGTGTAAACTCATCGGACCTTTAAACAAACTTATTAGTAAAGGTTATCTTACCAATGTTGTAATTAGATCTTTGAATATAGTTAACATTGGCACAAATATCGATTTTGTCATCAACAAATTAAAACTTATCCTACTGCCTGTCGATACTTTTATTTTGGCATTGCTCAAGTCATGTCTTATTTGACTGTCTGTGACGTTAGCACACTAAATCCCTGGTATGTGTTTTAGTTGATTTTAGTCTCTGATGCGTAATTTTTTATTATAAATTGTTTTTGGCTTTTAACTAGCTTGCAGTAACTGCGAGTCCCCTCAAAATTGTACTTTTGTGTTAATTTTACCTGTTAATACAATTCGTAATGCCTTTTTGTTATCTAATGTTTACTTATTTAGGTTATGTCTCGTCTTACTATTTTTAAGATTTTCCACATTTGATAATTGTTTGGTATGACGATAAATGTTCACTTCTGTTCTCGTACTATGAGCAACAAAATTATTTATTTTGTAAAAAATATTTCCGTACTCCATGTATACCTTACAACAAATTTATTTTATTTACCTGTGTACGTTATTTTATTTGGCAGCATTTTGTCCAAGGTTATGGTTGTCTTTTTGATATTGTTTTACATCTAACCCCCTTGTTTTATTTATTTTGTATTTACATTGTGTCATAGATCAAATGTATTGTTTCAGTGTATGTTCCCTTGGTTTTGGTTAATATGTATTTTGATTGAGTTAAGCCGTTTCAATTGATATTTTATAGTGTGTCTTTCTATGTTGTGATGTTACACTATTGTGTCAGGTGAAGCGCCAACCGTTATCATAAATGGTTTGGCAGATATTATACAAATATCAATCAAAGTCAAAGTAATAAAACTGTTTTGAAGTCCAAACTTTGGATAATCAAGAAATAAGATTTGTTTAAATAAATAAAAGCAGCTTTATTAAAAGCTAATATCATTAACAATAGTTATTAATAAATCAATTAAATAGAATTGCAGTGTGTGCCAAAATACCTGAATAAATAATTCTGGGTCACTGTCTGAAACTCAGCTGTTCGCCAGCGGCTATAATTTGAAACTGACTATACTTTTCTTCAAACGTTTGAAAGATCAAGTTAATCAATACACCTAAAAATAGTACGCGTGTACACAATTGTGAAAGTAAACCAAAAATGGCCTTTAAATTGACAAGTATGATTTTGGATAATTCTAACATTATAAAAGGATAACTATGGATAAAATAGGATGCATATTTAATTTCTGAATAATGTAATTATGTTGTAACTATAGAAAATCATTCCGCATAACAAGCAAGTGTACAAAAGTGAAAATATGTATGATCTATTTTCGCGGAAAATATACACCGGGAAATACAAATGAAAAGCAATGAATGAACGTTATTATTAAAAGAATACTGTAAATAATCGTGGCACAACACTGCTCCTCTCAAAGAAAAAAGAATTCTGTCCCTAGAATTGACATGAAATAAAATGAATATATATTCAAATTTCAACATAAGAAGCATACATATATAACAGTAAAACAATATACATGTATATACCACAATAAGTCTCATTCATTAAAAGTTCAATATAATTAAAAAGTTCTTTCTATTTTCTTGATTCAATGACACAAACAGAACTTCTGATCTTCTTAGAGGATTTGGGTTGAGTCTCAATTAATCTATTTTGGAGTTTTCTCACTTCTTTTTTAAGATCTGTCTTCCTCTTTTCAAGTCTCTCTATAAAATTCCCAAATCGAAGGCACTCAAATGTATGCTTTTCTTCTAAGTCTTTAAGTTGATTTTCATGTGTTGATTTCATTTCTACCAATTTATTCTCTAATTCCAAAATTTGTTCATCTTTGGGATCAATATTTACTTCCACAATTTCAATCTCCTCTTCTTCTTGTATAAATATTTTGTCATTTATACATGTTGATTCAAATTCTGTAATGTCTTCACCCACAATCACCACATAAGGATTAATACTTTTCATACAAATATGTTCTTTGTTAACATGAGGTTTTTTAAGATCCTTTAAATGTCTTTGCCATTTAGCATGGGAAATTGTTTTAAAGTTACAAGTTTTGCATACAAATGGGACTCGGTCAACCGAAGCATGTTTAATTATAAAATGTTGAATTGTGTTTTTCGTATTTCCTCGGAAAGGACACTTCGAACATTGAAACAGTACCATAATTCTGTAAGAATAAAATTAATCAATACTTAATACTTTATAAAATTAACAAGTCTAAAATATTATTTTTATACACGAATAAATAAATACATGTATAAAATGTGTATGTTTACTCTTAACATAACATTTATTCTAATTGATTGAGTTTTCTATTAACCCAGTCTGGTATTTCACCTACATACGGTTTTAATTTATCTATATGAACAACTTCAGTTCTAGATTTAAAACAGATTTCATCTAGAGCATACTCATTTTGCCCTTCATATTTCTGGTCTGGCAGTGGATATATCAATTTTATTGGAATACTTATTTCTCGACCTAGCATTAAAAAATTAGGTGAGAAGCCTGTAGCAGGATGTGGTGTACTACGATAAGCTGCCAGTAGTAGATTGATGTTTACATCCCAGTCTGTAGCATTCTTGTTGATGAAACTTTTTATCATTCCTGCCAGCGCGGGTATGTTAAGGCAATTTTTTCAGGGGCAAATAACTCTTGTGATGCTCATGAATATTAATGAGCAACGTTGCGTCTCCATAGTGACGACACTGTCCGCTTCATATCTCTGGTCATCAATCGCTCTCGTATTTTGTTCTTTTTATTGATAAACTATGCAGAATTAGATAAATAATGATAATTTGTTGTAATTAAAAACCAAATGTCACATTATTTTACAAGCCATAACTTGTATTGTATGAAAATCCTTCTTGTCGATCTCGCAACGGAGGCGTGGCTTATTTTCCTTATTTGGAAAACCGATTCAACAGGAAGCTTGAAATCTACATGTTTTGAACGGACGGATTGTTTTTGTTGCATGAGGCGAAGAATGGCTCATGTACCCAAGGATTTCAGCATACAATTCGGTCGTCTTTTTGCTGTTTTCTGTAGCCGACTATCTTCATTTTGACAAAAATCTACCCTTGAAGTTGCATCTTCCCCCCCTTTTTTCCATCTGTTCAGTAGAATTTAGAAATTATCCCTGAACCAAGGATTTGTATAGTATGCTATGCATGAACTATCTTAAATGCAAGTCCATTGATGGTCCACAGTGTTTATGTGCAATTTAGTTGAAGTTTTAGAATACCCATGAGTTGTCCTGGAAATTTGTTATGCTATAGTTACACTTTTTGATATAAAAACAAATTAATGTGCTCTAGCCTATTCCATGGTTGGCCAGTTGACATTCAATCTGTTTGAAATCATGAATCATGGATATTATTTCTTTTGAGAGCGAGTGATATCAGAAGACACTAGACTGAATTTTCTACAAAGACCCTACCTCAATATTATCAATATAAACTGTATTGAGCACCTTATTATCAC